TACTACTCCTTCCATCCTGACTTCCTAGGTATCTAATGAAAATATCGCTTTAAAGGGGTTGATAATGGGAGTTAGGCAATTTCGTAGAAGCATAATTAACTAAGACACGTCCAAAAGCAGAAAATACAAGAAAAATTTGTTTATTTAACGACGCATTTAATCAATTGATGAAGTATTTAAACCACCAAAAAAAAAAAAACAGACAAAAAGAGTATAAATGCACAAAATATTAAAAATACTGCATCACCTCTATCAGTATATTCCTATGAAAAAGATTATATTTATAGTATTTTCTTCTTTGTTTAGTACTTCCTTCAGACAGATGGAATATAAATAAAAAACCGGCCAAGTGTTAGTCGATCTTGCACACCGAGGGTTCCGTAAGTAGTATGTAAATAGTTCATCTGCTAAGGGAACAGTCAAGAAATTTTTTCCCGGTTTTTCCGAGTATGTTTTAAATTTCCACCCAAAATCAGTCTCCAAACGTATACATTGCTTCTTGCTAAATTTTATAATTCCAAGCATAAATGGTCGTATCTTTTGATAGCGTTGACTTATAAGTTTGATTTCTTTTACAGAACCAAGGGATTGGAAACCAAGTATTTTGATATTCATTTCAGCTTGATACCGCCACGCGTTCTTAATAGATAAATAGAGAAGCAAGCGAACAGCAAAGTTATTTATTTTTGAGGTACGAAAACCTAAAAATTAAAAATGAATTAACTGCAAAAAAGGTTTTGCCTATCAGTGTAATCAGTGGAAACGAACTCAATTTCTTTTATTATTATTTAGCATTTTTCCGAAACAATTTCAATTTTCCGAAAATTTTGGGGATATTTAAATACGTTCCGTTAATATTACAAACAAAACGATGTTACACACGAAATTTTGTTCGTAAATAATTTCAAACAACAAAGCTGGATCTTGATATCGGCAGTTCTTAAAATATCCACTTGAAAACTGAATAAATATCTGCCGAAAATCGACTGGAAACGCAAATGTGCTCGGACATGTTGAAGGGTCCATAAAAAGGTAACCTTTTCGACCGTCATTGAAAAGTCGATTTCAGGCGAAACTTTTTGCAATTCAGCACAACATGAATATCTCATGGACTGCGTAAATCTCTAGTTGGTTGATTGTTGAAAAGCAAAAGTGAACGGAATGTTTTCAAAAAGTTCGATAAGTACTTTCCGATTTTTCTGAAACGAGGATTTAGAAGACGAACTCCGGAGAGAACGAAAATCTACGCGTCCCTGATGTATTCAAAGGCAATGGGAATAAATCTTTTTGATTCCACATGTATGTATGTATGTATGTATGTATATATATGTATAGATACATGTATATATATACGTGTGTAGTAGTGAAGGTGAGGAGAAGGGATTCTGACCTGTTTCGGAGGTTTGCACGGGCAATGAACAAGTCGGCACGCGATGAAAAAAGCGAAATATTAAGAAAGTTCGGCACAAGTTCGACGGGGTCGTCAGGATTCGAGGAGAACTGGAAAGTTTGCCGAAGAAATGTTACTAGACGCTTAGCATAAGGAGCACACAAAACAGTTTTCTCGACTCAAACTTCTTTGCCGTTTCAATTAAACCGACAACGCAATTTCTGAACCGAGTTAATAAGTCAAGGTGTGCTTATGAACTTTTAACGAAGGAAATTGAAGCAAACAGAGCAACCATGGTAACCACTTAGGCTACTGTAAAATGTTTCGACAACTCAGTCAATAAGTATTAATAACGTCCCCACTGAACACTTTTTAAAAGGGAGCTACTTTCATTGATTGTTTATTTATAGTATAACCAATAAAACCTGTGCCACATGTACATAGTTATTATTAGCTTTATTAATAATGTATTGGTCAAGTGTATCCATATCTCACCATATATTAAACCGAAAATTATTACATAACAGGAAAATTAATGAAATGAACATCAATGTCAAAATTAATAAGTAACAAGAGAACTAATCCGTTCGTTGTTTTGTCCCTAAATGTTCAGGATGTGTATCCGCTGTAGCATTTGTTATACCTACCAAAAGGTAGTCCTTTTAGGCTTTTTTAGAAATATAAAATATTGATATTATATTTGTAATTTCCTTCAAACTCCGGTTCACAAATTTTAATCTATTAAATAATTCGACTAAAATTAAAAAAAACATATTTTATCGAAGTTAACCATTTAGTGAAAATGTAAATAAATTCTATAATTTGGTATTTTTTGGTATAAATTTTTCTGCTATGCTCTCGAACGGTTAATTTAGAGACTCGAAAAAAACTGTTAAAGGTGAATATTTGGAGCACGGCGATCTACGGGTGCGAAACAAGTGTTTGAAATGTGATGTTACAGGCGAATGATGAGGATACCGTGGAAAGAGAAGGTTAGAAAGAATAGGTGAACAGAGGAATGTATGGAAGTCAATAAGAAATAGGCGAGATAGGTTGGTAGGACACGTTCGCAGGCATGAAGGGCTAGTTAAAGACATATATTAACGGCAAAAACAGGAGTTAAGAGCAATAGAGGTAGACCTAGATTAGATTAATATTCGCAAATAGTTAAGGATGTGGGTTGTTCTAGTCTTGGAGAAATGCGAAGATTAGCTCAGGATAGGAAAGAGTGGAGGTGCGTGTAATGATAAATTTTTCAATTAAATACTGTAAATTTTTAAAACTTGAACCTTCTGACTTTGTTAATGTCTTCTAATGACGTTTAATGAAAAATGGTTCTTGTATATGCAGCAAGTGCAACATTCAATGTCATAGCCACGAAGGGGGACTTTAAGGGTGTTCAAATTGCCCGCAACCACCAGCTGAGAAGTTTTATTTTAATTATGTTCAGTTTCAGGAGTGCGACAAACAATTGCTGTACCTACAGACAGATTAGTAGAATCAACGAACAATAGGTTGCAAAGACTTTTCCCTAACTACAGCCAAACATTGCATATCTTGAAACCCAGAGCAATACATATTTCTAACATCTACACCTCTTTACTCCTGTTTCTGCTTCTAATACGTCACTAACTGAGATGTTGTACCAACCCATTTCTTACATGGGTAACGTACATACATATGTACTAGGGTCAATTGAAAAGTCCCCGGCCTGACACATAGATGGCGGCACCAGAACTAAATCCATATGATTTTCAGTTAGTCCTAACCTTCAAAAGACGCGTCTATAAATTTGACGGCTGTCGGATCATTAGTTTGTGAATTATAGCATCTTTAGTGAAGCAACTTTTGTTATTGTGAAAAAAATGGATAAAAAGGAATTTCGCGTGTTGATAAAATATTGCTTTTTGAAGGGCAAAAATACAATTGAAGCAAAAACTTGACTTGATAACGAATTTCCGGACACTGCCCCAGCAAAATCAACCATCAAGGATTGGTATGCTAAGTTTAGACGTGGTGAAATGAACACCGAAGACGGTGAACGCAGTGGACGCCCAAAAGAGGCTGTTACGGACGAAAACATTAAAAAAATCCACAAAATGATTTTGAATGACCGTAAATTGAAATTGAATGAAATAGCAGACACTCTACAGATATCAACGGAACGTATACATCACATCATTCACGAATATTTGGGTATGAGAAAGCTCTGTGCAAAGTGGGTGCCGCGCGAGCTCACTTTTGACCAAAAACAACGAGGAGTTGATGATTCGGAGCAGTGTTTGAAGATGATCACGCGTAATAAACCCGAGTTTTTGCGTCGATATGTGACAATGGATGAAACATGGCTCCATCATTTCACTCCGAAGTCCAATCGACAGTCATCGGAGTGGACTGCACACGATGAACCCGCTCCAAAGCGTGCAAAAACGCAACAGTCGGCTGGCAAGGTTATGGCGTCTGCATTTTGGGATGCGCGTGAATAATTTTCATTGACTACCTTAAAAAAGGATGGACCATCAACAGCGACTATTACATAGCGTTATTGGACCGTTTGAAGGACGAATTCGCCGAGAAACGACCGCATTTGCAGAAAAAGAAAGTCCTTCATCATCAAGACAATGCACCGTCTCACAAGTCAGTGAAAACGATGACAAAAATTCATGAATTGGGCATCGAATTGCTTCCGCATCCACCGTATTCTCCATATCTGGCCTCCAGCGACTACTTCCTGTTCTCAGATCTCAAAAGAATGCTCGTTGGGAAAAAATTTTCGTCGAATGAAGAGGTGATCGCCGAAACTGAGGCCTATTTTGAAGCAAAGGACAAATCGTACTACAAAAATGGTATCGAAAAGTTGAAGGATCGCTATAATCAGTGTATCACCCTTGAAGGGAATTATGTTGAATAAAAAGAACGAATTTTCCAAAAAAAATGTGTTTTACTATTTTAGGCCGGGGACTATTCAATTGACCGTTACATATGTATAAAGAATGTTTAATATACCTATTTATGTAAGTCCTGGCTATGCTATTTATATATTTGTAGCTTACATCCGAATTTTTCTAATAAACAACCAAAAAATGAAAAGTACCTACTGTCAAATTCTGACACACGATTGAGGTAACAATTCTACTCATTCGATAAAAAATCTTTGACGATGAGAGGAGAAACAAAAGGAAAAGTAAAACCTTCATCGAGTCGTTAAAATATCTTGAACAAAAATACGCGTAATCAATCTTCTTTCTCGGCAATCATTGTATCATATTATCTTCCATAAACCGATTTGTATTAGGCGCATCGGCCGTCCGTGGCGAAACTTCTGGTGCGGAAACGCGTGCGAAGCGATGAAAAATTGGTAAAGTAGTCGAGTAGCACCGTTCGTTTTCCCACAGGTAGGCAGGAATATGGGAAGGTATGAAGGTGGATGGAGAGAAAGTAGCTACGTGAATTGGAAAAGGAAGGACGAAGACGAAGTTCTAGTGCCGATTCCGACGCGCATCGTCTTGATCCCACCCCCACCCCGTGTGGCTGACAGTCGTGCGTTTGTAGCACGGTGCGATGTTGCGCTCAACCAAGACGCCACATGGTGTGCAGACACCGCCACGACGCGATCCGTTTACCACGCGACGCGGAAAATCGGAAAAGTTTCCGAAGTTTTTCTAACACGGTTTGTTTCTAAAACTACCTACATTTATAGACAACACGTTCGAAATATTTTTGGTAAGCTCTTTGCATTATTACCAATGCAGTAGGATACCTTTGTTATTTCCAGGGACTTAACTTTTTTTAAATCGATAACTTTTGATTTAACGAATTGCTTTTTAAATAACAAACGATGATGTAAGTTTGTTTTGTTTTAATGAATTGTCTACGCCGATCAATTTAACAATTTAATTCATATTCAATTAACGTAATAAAAAAATGAATTCATAATTCATACACGCACTTATTACAAAAATGTTTTCATACTATTCACTATGAATTATCAGGGGACAAAAGTAAATATCTATTTTTACTTATGCCGTTTACTATTTCATTAGTATCGCTCCAATATTTATTAAGTTTAAGTAAATTATTTATTGAAGATTTTGCTTCATTCTAAAGGAATGAAAGCATAATACAGAAAATTTATTTCACTGCAAATCACAGTAAATATAAATAAATAATTTGGTTTTGAAAATTGTAAAAGATTAAAGTTTTGTGTTGCCAAGAGCGTTTCCTCAAGTTGTTTTAATATGTTTTGCTTTTAGTTTAATTTTTGGTGTTATAAAAAATCTTTTAGCTAATCGTCTCATTAAGTGGCATTAGTGTCGATATCATGGACAAAATCGGATCAAAAGACACTTAGTGTGTGTTCAGATAATGACTGATAAAAATGCATATTATAAATATAAATCAATAAATTAATTTCAAATATTTTAAAACGATGTGAAGAACCATAGTCGAATATCTATGAAAACCGGAAAAACAATAAGGAAAGGTTTGAAATTCTGACGCATGAACGATGTAGATGTTGAAGCTAATCTGTAAAACCTCAATTGAGAAAACGGTTAACTGAAGGTTGAGACATCATATTGACTTCAACTGCAGCTTTAGATTTATTAGTAATTATTAAACTTAGCTAAATACAAAAGCAACTCTTATCTCTAAAAATATTTATCGGAATTACAGGAAAAATGTAACAAATAAATCACTTTAGAGTTTAAAAATGTGACACAAATGAAATGAAGCTTCTTTTTGCTGATATGAACAATGAAAAACTCATAGATCTCAGAATTAATATTAAAATTCATCATCATAAGGTCGTCAGTCCTAAGACTGGTTGGACACGTACCTCCACTCTTTCCTATCCTGAGGTAAACTTCGCATTTTCTTAAAGCTAGAACAACCCACATCCATAACTATTTGCGAACAGTAATCTGACCTAGGTCTACTTCTACCCTTCCTAACTCCTGCTACCGCCTCTAATATGTCTCTGACTAGACCTTCATGACTGAGAAGGTGTCGTATCAACCTATCTCGCCTATGTTTTATTGACTTTCATAGAGTCCTCCTATTCTTTCTAATACCTATTCATTTTTAAGCTTTTCTATCCACGTTATCTTAATCATTCGCCTATAACACCACATTTCGAACGCTTCTAACTTTTCCTTTTCCGCCGCGCCCACTGTCCATGTTTCGCACCCGTATAACGCCGCGCTCTGAACATATACCTTTAACAACCTTTTTCGAATTTCTAAATTAACTGAGTTCTTTTTATTAAAGGTGACTCGACCCAGCGCAATCTTCTGTTTTATATCCCTACTACTCCTTCCGTCCTGACTTATCTGACTTCCTAGATATCTAAAATCAGTCACTTCTTCTAATAATTCGCTCTTTCCCTACTTTTTCTTCCCTTGCATACCAGTATTTTAGTTTTACTTTTATTTATATTACTTATCTATCACAAATTAAAATAAAATAAAAGATATAACGTATACATACGTCATTGAGATTGATAGGCTGAAGTTCTAAATCATAAGTAACACAATAATTTAGATATACTACCCAATACAAAAACATTTTCCACAAATTTATTCGTAACGATCAGAAAAATTTGAATGAATTCCAAAGGAAATTTCAGTAAAGCTTTCCTTTATTGCCCTATTAAAGGTATGTATGTAGGTGTATTCACTCGCATTTCTCCGTATTTTATATTCTGGGTAATTAGATAATAAACCTGTTTTTCAAGAGATCCTTTCGCGAGTTCTTTTCATCCCTGCCTTTACCTGAATGGTTACCGCTCGAAAGAAGGTAAAAACGATGGCTAATTGCTCAGTTTGTTCTTTTTTTGTAACTTGAAGAAATATTAAAGAAAAGGGTGTTTTTCTCGATCATGGAAAAACAAGCAGACCTGTTACAAATTTAATTACCTAGTTACTGAATAGACAGTCGATGTTCCAATACCTTCTTCCAAATATAGCCTACTTTACGGAGAATTTACAAAATGTAAAAAGGTATAGAATGTTAAAAGGTACAAGTATCTAGTTGAAAGAAAAAATTAATTACAAAGTAGCTTACAAATAAATATGTATTACTAGACCGAAGTAGGATGAATGGTGGCATAACTACGCCCTACGATGCGCACAGGTTGAAGGTAATCTTGACTTATAAGCGTTAGTCTCTTTCCAGCTTCTGTGAGTTACTTTGAGTTTACAAGAACGGCTGCACATTAATTAGCTTGACTTACAGTTTTACTGTTATTTCGACGAATTGAAAGTAAATTAAATCATATTATTATTTTTGTTAGAGTATGTATCACAACGATATAAAGGGTGTGTTCCGAAATATAACCCAGCATACTGACCAATGCTGATGACGTAATGAATCGACGCCATACTGTTGATTCGTTTCGAAATATACTGGCCAGTGCGTTGACGTCAAATTGATGACATATTGATAATAGTGTTTGTGCTCGTTTAAAACAATTTTTCTCCGAAAGTTATTTAAGTTTCTTGCAATAAAAGATTCCTCATAGTCTGATGCACACACGCCCGTTTGATATACTACTACATCACATTTGTCTCACCAGTACAATATGGTGGCACACCAGTACAATATGGCGTCGATTTATGACGTCATCAGCACTGGCCAGTATGTTGGGTTATATTTCGGAACACAGCAAAATATGTTTATTATTTGCACACGTTTATAATTTTACTAATTGTAAAAGTAAATACAGCAGTTGTTTCGTAAACAGGGCTAGTTTGTACGTAACCGGATTAAATTGGGGGATTCAAACTCGAGAGCTTTCTCGTCATCCTTTTCTTGTCGAATGGTGTTGTAGTCCTTCAATTGCGCATCTTGCTAGATTATCCTATTCTGGTCAAGTTGCCATATAGATACTTTAATTTGATCAACTTTATTGATCATGCATCGGCTAGAAACGATCGAAAAATTGGCAAAGCACAAAAAGCTTACAAAAAAAATTACTTTAGTATGATATAGTCGTCAGTGCTAATACTGGTTAGACCTCCACTTTTTCTTGAGCTAATCTTCGCCTTTCCCTAAAACTAGAACAGCCACATTCTTAACTACTTGTGATCTAATCTAGTCCACTCTACCTATACTTCCTCTTAACTCTGCTTCTGCTTCTAATATTTGTCTGCAACTAGCCCTATCTCCCTATTTCTTATTGACTTCTTCTGTTCTGCTATCCTTTCCATACATATTTCTACTTCTCAAGCTCTATAACTGCCTATTGTTCTTTATATAAATTATGTATCACTTCTATCTCTGTATCTCATCCCTACATTTTTAAGTATATTTAATATCTTGTCTCATTTAATATTATCAAAAGCTTTTTTTTAATTTATGAATCCTATGTACGCGCTCTTTCCTTTTTTCTATTGTATATGTAAAGCTGGAATTACCTATCGCATTTATTTGTTTCTAATGAACCCAAATGGGTCTTCCCCTAATAGTTCTTCTGCTCTTTCAAAAACTTAATTTTTTAAATTATCGGAATTTTCAGTAAAGCATGTATGTATTAATAATATTAATAATCGTGAAGTATGGTTCTCCAACAAGACATTTAAATTTTAACCCTCTTGTATGCCCTTTTCTTGCGACGCTGTCTATAAAAAGGGTTTTAATTAGTATAGGTAAATTTTATTATCACTTCAGTGTAAATTAAATTTCGACCGGACTACTTTAATGCTTACGTTTTTGTGCCAGGAACAAGACTTCCCATCTTTCCATTCGAATTTTCTAATTAATTGCATTCATTAGGGCAGGTAACGGGTTATGTCACGTAAATATGTATTTATAGCGAGCTGTTAGACTTTCATTAAAATCTTCAAGTACTTGCATTCAATCGGCCTTTAGCAAGAAAACACTAAAGTGATAACCGCAGAAACCATTTAATAAATTAATCGTTCCCAGAATGTTTCATGTTAATTAGGCTAATAGCATTGATAAATGCTCTTATATATCTATTTCTGTGTACTTTTAGGTAAGGAATGTCAACATTATGATAAACATGATACTGAGTCATCAAGGAACCTACGCGTATTGAGTTTCCTGCAAGGAACTTTATGTGAGAAGGTCAACTCATAAAGGAAGGTTATAAGTTTAAGGGGGTGGTTTCCGTAAGTCACAAGAGATGGAATTCAATAAAACTTAAATAAGGATGTATTAATTGCTTATCGTCATGCAATTCATGCAATGTTGGTACCCATCAGCGTCAATAAAATTTACATATATCTTCGTCGGTTTTTGAAGGTTGTGCTGTTGTAATAAGTAGGTTCTACATTAAATGTATGTACGAAATAAAGTAAGTAGATCTAAAACAGGTGGCGCTACTTAAGATTGGAATGCCAAAAATGCGTTGATATGAGGAGAGATTCCTTTCATTCTGAAGAAGCATCTAACTAATGTTCTAGACCTAGTAACCTAGTAGCTGAAGAAAATTGTTTACCGAAATAAAATAATTTGGCAAATCATTATGATAATCATCGGAGTTTTATCTCATCATTAAGCAAAGCATAGAAAAATGAACTACGAACGCAGACCAAGACTCGTGTCACTTTTCTAGAGCAAATGGATGATAACCAATATTTTAAACAGTTCAAAAGAGAAATCGTTTTGTATAGGAAGATTTTCTATTTCAATTCAGTTGGAGTTACGATAAGTTAGTAATCCGAGGTACAGTTAACGTAGAATATGAAAGGAAATAAGAAAAAAGTAAATGTAACTTACCGATTCCCAGACAAAGGAAGATTCAGTGATGTTTGATCTGAAAAACAAAACATATATCTTTAATCTAGTCTCACTTTTCCACATTTTAATATATTGGTAAAATTTTATGAGCAGTTATAATGTTTGAATAAAGATTAAGGGAAGTAAATCAATACTGGATATATTCCTATTGGAAATTAACAGTACAGACCCCATTTCGAATGTCCACGAATGAAGTAGTGTGTTTTCGTAGACGAATTTTTCTGCACCACCATTAATCATATTTTCTACGGCTGTTATATTGCTACCTATGGGATGAACTAGTTTGATCAAATAACAATTGCAGAAATATCAACTAATTTAATGAGAGTACCATATTTACCTATGTCATGGAAATAAATTAAAATTCATGATCATCATAAGGTCGTCAGTCCTAAGACTGGTTGGACACGTACCTCCACTATTTCCTATCCTGAGCTAAACTTCGCATTTCCCTAAAACTAGAACAGCCCACATTCTTAACTATTTGCGAACAGTAATCTAATCTAGGTCTACCTCTACCCCTCCTAACTCCTATTTCTGCCTCTAATATGTCTCTGATTAGCCCTTCATGCCTCAGAAGGTGTCCTACCAACCTATCTCGCCTATTTTTTATTGACTTCTGTTCCTCTGTTCTCCTATTCTTTCTAATACCTCTTTATTTCTAAACTTTTCTACTCACGTTATCCTTATCATTCGCCTATAACACCACATTTCGAAAGCTTCTAACCTTTTCTTTTCCGCCGCTCCCATTGTCCATGTTTCGCACCCGTACAACACCGTGCTCCAAACATACACCGTTAACAACCTTTTTCGAATTTCTAAATTAACCGTTCGCGAGCATATAAGTGACTTCTTTTTATTAAAGGCGACACGACCCTGCGCTATCCTCTGCTTTATATCCCTACTACTCCTTCCATCCTGACTAAAATTAAGCGCCAAAAAATGAAAAGTTCATTAACTTAAATAATAAAACAATTTGAAAGAATGTGTTTGATGCGTTTTTAATTTTCATATGTTCAGTCTCGTTTCCAGTGTTGAGTTTGTAGTGTATAGATAGTTAAATCGCGAACGACGTCGGCAAAAATTGGACTGTTATTTCAATTAACCCTAACTCCGGATTTCTCCCAGGCTTGCGTCTGTTGATGGAAGACAAGCGGCTTCTGCCGGGAACTTAATATTAATGCGAAGCTTGAAGAGCTTAGCGGATGTAGCCTTTGATGCAGCTACACTCCGACCTCGTCATCAGCGAGGAGAAGAGGAAATGACCCAACATACATGTACATACATATATCTGTATATGTAAATACATACGTGTACGTAGTCTATAAAGGGTTTACCGAGGAGATTGTCTTTACCGAACAAGGACTTATACCAAGAGCAAGCCGGAAGCTACTTATACCAACTTCTTATAATGTTAACGAAATTTGTGTAAGACACAAAGAAACACATGTTTCTTCTACGAAATTTATTTGAAACGATAAAATTAAAATAGTTATGTCAGTAATTTTCTTTTTATAAGTATTATTAAAAAGCTATAATTTAACAATAATCCAAATAAAGTATTGGTCTGCAGGTAGGTGTTGATGGTATCTTTCAGTGACTTGACAACAGCTTGTAGAACAGTTTTTTGGAAAAACTTAGGCTAATGTTTGAACAGTTTCTTCGCAAAAGTGAAAGTTCTGGTCAACGATTGTAGGAGACACCTCACCAAATCATGACTGATGCTGGACGGTGTCCTTCTTCGGTCCTTGGGATAAGTCCAAAGGCAGTTTTAAATGATGTCTCATAAATCCTATATGATTCGACTTATTGAATTGTTGTTGGATGGTGAAGATTATTTCATTCTTATTTCTGTGGAGATCGTCCACAGTTGCTTCGATTTTTCTATCCTGTGTTGTAAGGTTGGGATCAGTAATTGTTTGGTAAGACGCAGCGTTTGTTTGGTACAGTCTAAGGACCTAAGTCTTGTTTAATGGCGTGAGTCATTAACTTCGATGTCATGATCATTTCGCGGACCATAACTTTTTGTTTCCGGAGTGGTCTCCTCTGAATTATATCCTTTACTGGTTTGATAGCTTGTGGTGTTCTTACTGTGCGTGGCTACCCAGACCACTGACGATCTGGACGACAACGTCTCCCATCTTCCCAAAAAGGTTCATGCACTGATTCACAAACATGCGATTAATTCCGAACGATCGTAGCTTCTTGAAAGTGTCGCCTTTAATCATTTTACACTTATGCAGCAAAACGATTTTCTTTATGTGACCATTCCATTTGTATTCCTCGACGTAATCCCTTTTTATGATACAATTTTTAACTTCACTTTTTCTCATTCCTCGGCGAATGTAAAAGAAATGTTACTAAAAATATTAGGTACTGAGAATTTTTTTGTCAACCATATAATCCTTAGTTTACTATGGACTCCTAACTGTTTTAATCCCATGAGATTCTACTCTTTCTAGTAGTAAAGTAATGGTGAGGACATTGTTGTTGATGGAGACCAAAAGCTGTCTGTTCTTGTAAAACAGACGGACGTTTGAAGTAAATAGATATCTCGTTAGGTTTGCAGCTGGGTTTACTAGTTCGTTATCGGCGTAATCGATAATATGTGTAGTTTGGTGAAACAACGGTAGCTAGGAGCAAGGCCTTTCATGTTTAATATAGCAATTTGTAGGTTAGTTCGCTGCCATGCGGACAACACCACTTGGAACAATCCGTTTATCGGCGACAAAGCAAGACCACTGATAATTAGTCTACAATTAAATTTATTACCGTAACAGAGTCTGTTGCCGTCCAATCGTAAAATGAATTCGTATTTGGTCCTTCTCGACCATTTATCTGAATTATGGGAGTTTCAATATGTGACAGATAGATCGGTTTTTAATCTGCGGTTTCAACCTATTTGACTCTAGAAGATAGAAGTTTAGATCTTCTAGTGGTATTCAGGTTGCTGATAAAGATCATAAAAACATATCATACGTATCTCAAGATTAGTTTTAAAATAGTTATTGCTACAGTGCATTAACAAAATAGAGAAAATCACCCCAATTTAACACTTCACAACTGAAATATCGTATGTTATTTATTAGGTAGTTTTGGTTGTCATACCATCCAAATACACGGAACTATTTGATCAGTTTATACGCCTGGAACATAGATAATTCCATTCTATATTTAGTAGGAACATTCGTAGACAAAATACGACTGTGGTATATAAACGCAGGAAACAATTTATTCATACCCCCATGAATGAACTCATTGATTCCATCAAATGTTAATGATAAAACATTGAATAGCTGCTGAAAAGAAACGACCAATTTTTCATTTTTTTTGAAGTGAAACTTCTTTATGTACGGTAGGGTAAGTTCGTTTCATGCGAGTTGCTATGTAACGAAATCATGCAACGCATTTCCCCCGCTGTCTGTTCCTATGTATGCTTACATCTTTAAAATTACGCAACGGATTTTAATGCGGTATTCTTTAATAGATAGAGTAATTCAAGAGGAAGGTTTATATGTATAATATATGCATAATATAGTAGAGAAACACTGATAATTTTAGCGGTTTGTAATGTGATGTCGTAAATAAACATTTTTTTGCGCTTACATTGCAAACGCTGGCTGAACTGTACGAGATAGATCAAAATAATACGAGGGTGGATTGATAAGTTTCCGGCCTGACCAAGAAAAACAAGGTTTTTAAAAATTTTTTTTTTTTATTTCTCAACATAATCTCCTCCAAGGCTGATACATTTCTCATAGCGGTGTTCCAGTCTATTAATGCCATCTCTATAGACTGATTCGTCAAGCTCCTCAAAATAACCATTTACAGCTTCGATTACTTCTTCATTGTCCGCAAATCTCTTACCGCCAAGCCATTTTTTGAGATTAGGGAACAGAAAATAGTCACTCGGGGCTAGGTCTGGAGAGTAAGGAGGGTGCGGCATCAATTCAAACTTTAGATCGTTGATTTTAGCCGTCGCAACGATTGACGTGTGCGCTGGTGCGTTATCGTGATGAAACAAGATTTTTTTCTTCGCCAGATGAGGTCGTTTAATTTTCACCTCGTGGCTCAAACGTTGCAATAAGTCTGCGTAGTATTGACCAGTGATAGTATTACCCTTTGCAAGGTAATCAATGTATATAATACCTCTTGCATCCCAAAAAACAGTAGCCATAACCTTGTTCGCCGAAAAAATTGTTTTTGCCTTCTTTGGAGTTGGTTCCCCTGGTCCAATCCACTGTTTAGACTGTTCTTTGGTTTCAGGAGTGTAGTGGTGGACCCACGTTTCGTCAACGGTTACGAATCGACGCAAAAATTCGCTTGGATTACGCTTATACAATGACAAATTTGCGGTAGAAATGTTTTTTCGAATCAATTTTTGGTCGACTGTTAGCAAACGCGGCACCCATCTTGCACAGAGCTTTTCCATATGCAAATGTTGGTGCAAAATATGTTGCACACGTTCATATGACATCTTACAGGTCTCAGCTATCTCACGCACTTTCAATCTGCGGTCTCCCAGCACTATTTGATGAATTTTTTCGATCATATCTGGAGTTGTGACCTCAACGGGGCGTCCTGAGCGAGGCCCATCAGAGGTGCTCACACGACCCTTTTTAAACTCGGAAACCCACTGCTTAACGGTTGAATATGACGGGGAGGATGTCCCCAGTGTTGAGTCCATCTCTTTTTTAATTTCCTTCGGCGTTAACCCCTTCAAATAAAAGTATTTGATGACAGCACGATTTTCCTGCTTTTCCATTTTTACGAAAACCACAGAGGCGTCTTGTTCAGCGTGCTGTCAAACCTACACTAGCAAGGAGATCGGGCTGAAACTATAGCTACAAGCTATCCAAGGATGGTACTATAGAATGTCACCTCAAGGTAGGCCTAGTGGCGTCATCTCTTGGTTAGGCCGGAAACTTATCAATCCACCCTCGTATACTACAGTATTGTACACCTTGAAGTCCGCGATGGTATACGTCTATCTCTTAGGAATAAGTCACAATAACCACTTTTTATCCTTTACTTTTTACGAGAAATAATGGCTTATTTACGAAGCGATTTTAAGCAAAACAGCATTTATCCTTATCCAATTAAGTACTTTTAAATACGTTGTGCATCTAATATAGATCAATACGGCCGGCCCTTTACAGCATGTAATTTACACGCTACCTTAACGTCACATTTTACAAAAATCCATTGGCTTCACTATTTCATATTACTCTCAACGGGTCGAAAGAAGTGTAACTTCAAAAATTCTTTTCATAAAATATTTTATCGTCAAGAACCATCGAAAATATTTGTTTGTGGTGATTTTCCCAAATGTTGCGCTAGTATTAAAAAAATCAATCAAACTAAATAGTTCTTTAAATAATATCGGTAATAAATGCGGTGCTTCACACGTTATTACATTAAATTGATATAGCTGCACAGGACAATGTGATTTAAGCGGTCGCTTTACGAAAATGGACAATACAATTAATATTTACGGCATGTGCAATTTGAAATGCAATTGTCATTTTTAATAGCCTTCGCGTAACGAATATGGACAGCCAATCGCAATGCGTCCCTTGCCGCAAACATATTAACATTTATTATTTATTATTTATTCGGTAAATGGAAATGATAACAAAACCAACATTTAAAACAAACGTGTAATTATGATGTTTCATTAACAGAATCGGTAAAGTAAAATTTTGTTTAACAGCCAGTAAAGTAACGACTATGTTTAGGTATAGTTAGGACGATCAAAATTGGCAAAGTCCGAATAAATTATCTGCGAGAATGGACGTATCTTCTTTCTTATTTCTATTTGGGACTGTATAGTCATTTGCTGCGTTTTGAATACGCCTTTATAAGGTTAAGAAATGGGTCATGAGAGAAAAAAAGAGATAACCGAATAATAGTAAGCAATGTAGCGGTTAGAAGTTGCTTAGGTACGTAAAAGATCTTGGTAGGCTTTATAACTGTATTTTTGGAATTATATCTTTAAACAACCGCCTTTGCATTCCAAAATTTCTGAGAATGTTGGCAACATACTCAAATTCTGCTAGTCTGCATCTGTTTCTGTTACACATCAATTGATGTAATGTTATTCCTTTTTCTTTATTAGTGTCCGCTGCAATTCCTACCTGACATCTCTTTTCCATGTTTGCGATATTCCCTACAACTTCTGTAGTAAGTAGAAGTGGACGTTTTATCAGCAACCGCTCTAGTCTAGACAATAAATTGAAAGAAAAAATTTTCTATCCTCAGTCCTCAAACTGATTGGACACGCACATCCACTCTTTTCTATCTTGAGTTAATTTTCACAATTCCTTAAAACTAGAGCATCCCACATTCCCGGACTTTTGTAAACGCTAGTGTAATTTAGGTCTACCTCTACCCCTTGTAACTCCTATATTCGCTTCTAATAGGTCTTTAGAAGATTTTAGGTATCTAAGAAGTCAGATAAGTCAGGACGGAAGGAGTAGTAGGGATATAAAGTAAAGGATAGCGCAGGGTCGAATCGTCTTCAATAATAAGGAATCACTTCTATGCTCGCGAACGGTTTATTTAGAAATTCGAAAAAGGTTGTTAAAGGTGTAAGTTTGGAGCACGGCGCTGTACTGTTGCGAATCATGGACAGTGGGCGCTGCGAAAAAGAAAAGGTTAGAAGCGTTCGAAATGTGGTGTTACAGGCGAATGATTAGGATACTGTGGATAGAGAAGGTTAGAAATGAAGGGATATTAAAAGGAATTGGAGAACACAGGAAGTCAATAAGAAATAGACGAGATAGGTTAATAGGATACTTTCTCAGGCATGAAGGACTAGTCAGAGACATAGTAGAGGCAGAAGCGGAAGTTAGGAGGGGTAGAAGTAGAGAGAGATTAAATTACTGTTCGCAAATAGTTAAGGATGTGGGCTGTTCTAGTTTTAGGGAAATGCGAAGATTAGCTGAAGATAGGAAAGACTGGAGGTGCGTGTCCATCCAGTTTTAGGACTGACGACCTTATGATGATGATGAGGTCTCTACCTAGCCCTTCATGCCTGAGAAAGTGTTCTAGGAAAATACTGTGGACTTATGATTAGCTAAATTAATGGTTTTTGTAACTAATACCAATATCATTTTCTTTTTATAAATAATATTAAAAGGTTACAATTCAACAAACGTCCTTAAACTTGGACATTATTTTTTTCCTAATTGCATATTCTTTTACAGAATATTCCAAGATGAATGTTGATATCGGTAAACTGAGGAACTGCCTTGTCATATAGAAGACACGGTTCTATGGATGGTCCCTCGTAAAGCTAAGGACACTAATTAAACGATGCTGGTCTCTATGGTAGCCGCCTTTTTTGTGCAACTTATTCTTCGAAAAGACAGTGAGTATCTTATTGTTATTTTTTACGTACTCTCATCATAAACATGTATTTTTTTTTGGAGTTATATAGTCATAAGAAGGCAAGCAAACAATGGAACAAAATCGTGTTATTGTTATAAAGTTCCAAGACGTTTTCTTTTTTCTAATGCTTTCAGAGGATTTTATAATACCGTTACAATGTACCTAAAGTTAAATTATATTATTTTTGTGCGTGTAACGGAAGCCTTACAAACGAAAAATTGTATTTAACTCACAAAGGCAATGTCTTATAAACTTCAAAGGACGACATCTTTGCTTTATTTGTGATGCATGCTCGTTCGTAACCCACCAAGAGAATATGAAAAGGCTGCAAGAGAGAGATCTTCTTTGGATAATTATTAAAAGAAACTTAGATGAATACGAACATCTTCGCTTCAAAACAACAAGCTATACCTATGACTATGTATTAATACCTGCAGGCAAGTTGTCTTGTTATCTAATAAGTTTCTCTGTTTACTTCATTAAAATTTCGCAAAATATGTAGGACTTTGTGTCTCTATTTACAAGTACAAACAACTGCTGACTACTTATTAATTAATATGTACAAGTAGCATCTCAAGAAACATTTTAGTTATTGACTTTTACTGTCTCATTTTAATTATCTATCTTTATTAAATACATATATAATTTTTTGAATTTTATTTTATTATTAAGTACAATATCGATTAATTTTTTTGAGTTCTTTAGTGAGTTTTTATTTCAAATTTTGTACATAAAGTCAGACCCGCTTACATTTCACATTCTTGTTACAGATCGATCTGTATAAATAGATATCTAATTATCTCGAGAAAATAATTACAAAGCAATAACAAACATTTTGTTAGATTTGTGTTACACCAGCTTTTAACCGCGACTACATCAGCGTGAAACTGATTCTAATCTCACTTATACAGGTTTAGCCATTCTAAAGGAAGCATTTAAATAACTCTATGGGAAAGACTTACATTAAAAAAGTGACTTGACAAAACTTGGATAACATTCCGGTGGAAATCAACGATATATTTAAAAAAAAAGCCGACTTAATCTCGAAATAATCTTGAAAGTAGACCTCAAGGTCACACTCAAGGCCACCAGCGATGCCCCCCCCCCCCTAAAAGTTACACAACTTTTGATGTAAGGCATTCAAGTAGAGTTAATTAGGTGCTCCTTTTAAAACCAGTCATCCCCAATAATAAATACAATTATTTTAGATCACTTTTGAGAATCTTCATGTCTGTAAAACTTTACCGAAATCCATTCCGCCTACATTATACTCATAGATGCAGACAGATAGACAGTATAGTTTTATTTCTGTCAATATTCTATCTATTTATGACTGAATCGTGACAATCCCTGATAGAACCTTTACCGATTTTAATAACTACAATAATAACTCTACACCGGAAAAATTAATGAAGAAGTTAAAAGAAAAAGAAATAGAATGAGGCATTTCACACCATCCAGTGATATACATAGAGATAAGGGTAGTAACCTTGTCAAAATCCCCAACTGCTTCAGCAATGATGATCAGGATTACCTAGCAACAGAAGTACATCCTGGTAGGTGTGGTGTGTCAAACACGGTCAAAGGTATTATTTCGATGATATGGTACGGATGCAAGGAATTCGTCCTTAATTCTCCGCACCGTATTATGCGGAATCCATGTTAGGTAGGTACTTAAATCGGGATTGTTTTCCACACATCCTGTATGATTCCACTAGTACATTCTCATTGCGCCGTCCATATATGAACATCATGTCCGCATATCTGCGTGCGAATACATTGCCTTTTTTTTGGGTATTTTCAAAATAAAATTCTTGTATTTTGTAATAATAGCAGTAACTTTACAAAAGAACGGTCATTACGGAGTGTAATTGACCTGCCTGCATAATACGTGTGTTTCGCCGCTTGATGCTCGCGATAATTTCGTCATTTAAACCATAACTTCGAAGTGCAGAATACTGCCAATTACGTGCGATTGACTTGCCTGCGTATCAGCTGCTGTGAAGGTCACAAATAGGTACTCGTGTTGTGTCACTTGATGCTTGCGAAAACCAAGGGCGATAACATAACGCGGCCGCCAACCTGACGAGTGTTCTCAAGCATTGACGGCTCATTAACTGGAATACTTTTTGCGTATAGTTTTTGCACCCCTACGTTGTGGCGCTGTCACGAGATGCACTCTATTGTACCACCAAATGTCACCTTTCAAATATTCCGGAATACTTATCGGACATAATGTATACGAATATTAGCTATAACTAAAATGAATAAATTTCTTATGTTTTTTTAGGTCATTTTCTAATTTCTTTTCCGTTTCGGTGTATCCCTGCTTTACTTCGTTATAATAAATTTTCCCCAAGTTGAGCATTTTATTGTTAATAAAAGTTGCAATGTTTTACGCCTTTTCGTCACTTTCTTTTATTGCAAATAGAAAAGGTTAAATATTTCTTTTTATTTTGTATTTGGTACTATTTAGACTTTTAATGAAATATTTATTTAGTACCTACCTAATATCATCTGATATTTAGAAGCAATTATATTGGATTGTATTTTAGTTTTATTATTTCTAGATTAAACTGTTTTTAAATTGTAATGTCTTGGTGGTTGCCCTGTACATTCATTTATTACTGCTTCCTGTAAAATCACCAACAGCACCGTCCCTCAGCCTGTTTGGTCACTAGGTACTGGTACAAAGTCAGAATCCTTTCTCGATTAAGTTCGAAGCTATATCCACGATGAATTGATTTCATATTGTAGACGTACACAGCAAAACTAAATTTATAGTGCAAAATGAGGCTAACCAAAGCGCACAATATTTTTGCATGATAATTATGTGCATCTATCTATTATACATGTCTCTACATATACGTCTGGTATTTTTGTATCGACATGTAATAATTATACTATACCAATGTGTCTATATTGTACTGCATATATGTACAAACGTAATTAGTTATTTTTGTGTTAATGGATCGGACTACAACAATAATTAATTAATATTCATGGCGGCCACCGAAGCTGCGGTTAGAAATGGGTTGGTTCGCCATTTCGAACTGGATCCATGCTGAAACGTAATACATTTTTTGTATTGACGAAAATTAATCTGCTGGGTAAATGAGAGCGATTACATGCATAGCTTTTGTAAACATAATATTATACGGTTTATTGCTCTTTTGGATACATGTGTCTGGCCTTTAATTTGCTCGTTAAAAATTGATGAGATACGCCGCCAACAAAACGCGAAATCCATTTGCAAGCGTTCTACATTCAACAGTAAATATAATTAATAATGTTTCCGATTCGTTTACTTAAACATATTAACTTGTATCATTTAAATAATTAAAGAACATTCGATATTTCATTTTACTAAGAATGAATTGTCATCGTTGTATCTGTCGAGGATGACAGAGTGTTGTAAATTGTCATGTACCTCGCTTTCTATTTCATCGTCTCTCTCTCTACATCTTATCTATCTGTCCTTGTTTTCCCCTTTATTTATGACTTTTCTGTACTTTCGACCACTACTCGCCTATCCTTCTCTTGCCGGTTACTAGTAATTTTGTGCTGTCTTTCTCTATCTCACCACCTTTTCACTCTTAAGTAGCGTGCCATCAGCACCAAGAAGAGAGTACAGGTCTGACGAAGGAAGCTGGCGAGTGATCGCGCAGGTACTTGCCCATTTATGACCTATTTGAGTAAATTGCGTAAATTATAGTATTAATACAGATCGGACAGTAGCGTACTAGAAAATAATGTAAAAACATGACTTATCAAAAGAAAAAAATAACCTATTGCTTTTGTTTTATAGTTTGTTTTCACATTCACTGTCATCATAGGAATCTCTATCGCTGTCACCAACATCAACAATTAGTTCTTCTGTTTGTATGTTTATTACTTGCTCAATGATCCCAACTTTTGAATATTTAATCTACGCTCCTGATAGGAATACTGAAGAATGAGGGCTGCAATATTTATACCTAAAACTGCCTACTTTTGCCACCGCGCATCCACGCCATTTTAAAATTTCCGCCAGCTTCCAGCGTCAGGCCTGTACGAAGGTTGCTGTCAAGTCGCACGTTTCGTTTTCACCGTTTCATTCTCCGTTTATTCACCGTTCCTTTTTCACCGTGTAGTTTCTTCAAGTGTACGCCGATTGAAGGCATTGTATTTATTGTATATAGATCAATAGATTATACTACATTTACAGTGTTTTTCAATCCACAACAAAAACCTACAATCCTTTAATTAGGATTGTTAGGAAGTTTCATGCGATAAAAACGCCGCCGATCCAGATTTACCGAATCGTATGAAACACAAAGTGTATTACCCCCGGTTTCTTTGGATTAACGTGGTGAATTTTACCTTCTCATCTAACTAATGGGCGAGGAATTGAGATAATCAGTGCTACCTCTACCAATTTTTCTTAGAAAGCGAGTGAGCAAGTTCCCCTAGAACCTTCTGATGCGAGCACAACCATCATGGTTGGTGGCCACTATTACGAAGGTCTATGGGAAGTGACCGCCAGATCTGTGACCACCCCAAATAAATGAGGCGCAAAATCGAACCTTACATTATAATTATTGACTCTGACATGGCTGTTTAGCCAGGGCGCGACATCGATACGTTATCATATTTGTCATCTTCATATTTACATGGTGGAATAAACTAACCCCATAATATGTCGCCATCTTGTGAAGTAACTGAAGTATTTCAAATGTTAGACATTGTTTAACTTTTTAATTTTTTCCAGTTACTTCATATTTATCGTTTTACTGGTGTACTGATGAGAACTAATAAGTTCTAAATCGTTTTTTTGGGCAAAAGTTTTAGAGTTTTTTATGGAATTATATTTCATTTTTCTTAATTAGAAAAATTGGTATTCTTATTAAGTTTTTTCGTTCCCTAAGGATTCTTCATTAGATCATGAGACTTTTAGAGAGAGAACCTCGTCCCATCTTTGGATGTTGCCTTTAATTTGAA